TCCAAGACAGTTCATAAGCTCTAAGTCATTCCATATAATTGCTGTCTACTAGACTACAGCTATGCCACTCTCCTGCTGACGAGCGTGGAGGTCCTTTTCCATTTCTCACTAATAGAAACAGTACTGCAGTGAGGAGTCTTGTGCAAGCTTCCTCATGCACGCAGGCAGCTGCTGGGTGAATACCAAGATGTGACGGTGCTGGCTCATGGGTGTACCTGTTTGCATTTTAATAGATTCTGCTAAATTGCCCTCCAAGCTCTTTACCACTAGTATGTGAATACGGATTTTCCTACAACCATGCCAACATATGATATTATCAAACTTGAAAGTTTTGCCAATCTAAAGGATCATGCTTGAATTTGCATTTCCCTGACTACAGTGAAAGGTGTATTAGGCAATGCCATCTAGACTGGTAATTAAACAGTAAAGGCAGTGAAAGCAGGGCAACATAAAAATGAGTATGTCATTTAATTTTAAAAACAGAGCTGTGCCTTCCATCTCCCATCTTTTGACGTAGGAAAGGTGCTCCCTTAAGAGAGGAACCACTGGCTGGAACTCCATACGCCCCGGCATTAACAACAACCTTACAATGCACATCCAAGATTCCCTGGTTTGGTTTCTTATGTGAGTATAAAGACCCTGTGAATTAATCTGAGCGCACAATTTAATTTAACAGCGAGCTTTCAGTACTGTGCCTTCATCAAGACTTTCTAAGGCATTTAATTTAATTTTCACTCAAACAGCTCTCTTTCCACACTTGTGTTCCATTGGTGTACATGTTACTTAACTAAATCGCATAATTACAATGACATTCAACCAGTATAAGCAGGCTTGGGAACCATCACACCGGCTCTTGGAAAACATACAATTAACTGAGGGGGCGAAAGCACAGAGGTGTTCTAGAAAGCAGCCCACCAGCCATCCACGTAAGCACCCCTTCGGCTGCAGTCAGCATCTTTCGTTAAGGAATTTGTGAATCTTCTAATGCGGTCAGTCGGGTGAGAGATCCCCCACCGTACTAGTGATGCGGAACACCTTTTCATATGCTTATTGTTAATATCCTCTACCATGAACCATCTGTTCATTTCATTTACCTACTTTCCTAATGGATTATATTTTTCTTAGTTATTTACAAGTGTTCTTTCTAAATCCCAGATATTAATCTTTTGCCACTTATATGTCATAATTATTTTCTCCCAGGCTGTTGCCTATTAACTACTATTATAAATGATCTCCCACCTGAGCACCCCACACCAATCCATGTACACGTGCTGCTGCCACACAGTCTTTCTCAAATCGTAATCGCATCACGCCAAGGTCTTGCTGAAAACCTCCAAAGGCTCCCTTGGATCCACGGAATTAATTTCAGATCTCTCAGCTAGACATCGAGGCTCTATATTACCGCATCTACATTCTGATTCTAATTTCCCACTGCTACCCTACCGACAATTTCTCTTCTTCCTTTCTATTCCCCAATCAAATAGGACTATGAGCTTTTTATTAAATCTCTTTTGCGTTTCCCGGTTCTGTTACTTCTGCCTGGGGCCCTCGTCCTCATTCTGTCCTTTGAGACCCATTGGAAATACCAGCTCTTTCATGAAGTGGGGTCCGATACCCCAACAGACAGATCTTTGCTTCCTCTGACATTGGCAACACTTTGTACTGCCCTCTTGGTTGGAATAAATCTCACTCTGTTTTGTTTTATTTTTAAATATGTTTTTTACTGATTTTTAGAGAGAGGAAGGGAGAGAGATAGAAACACTGATGAGAGAGAAACATCATTGATTGGCTGCTTCCTACATGCCCCATACTGGGGATTGAGCCTGCAACCTAGGCATGTGTCCTGACCAGAATCGAACCAGTGACCTCTTGGTTCATGGGTCGACGCTCAACCACTGAGCCACACCGGCCGGACTCACCCTGTTTTATTTATAATCATTTGGTACTCACCTCGTCCACTGCAACACAAGTGCCTGAAGGTGAAGGTCAGTGCCTTCCTTATTTTTCTAGTTTTCTGAGTCTAGTACAGAGTCTTGCACACAAAGGCAATCAAAATATTTGTTGAACTGAACTGTTCTCTCAACCTTCCTGAGTCTCTCAATACAAGTAAGGGCCTTACACATAATAGTGCTCAAAACATACTTGTTTAAGTCATTTCATAGTTCCAGAGCAAGATTTCTTGGCGTGTATGTAACACTGACATTAACATAAAGTATTCATTTAGAAATCTCTCACTAAATAGCTGAAGGAAAAAGGAAAGAAACACCGACTCTACAGCCTCTATTCCAGCGGTTCTCAACCTGTGGGTTGCCAACCTGTGGGTCGCGACCCCTTTGGGGGTCGAACGACCCTTTCACAGGGGTCGCCTAAGACCATCGGAAAACACATATATAATTACATATTGTTTTTGTGATTAATCACTATGCTTTAATTATGCTCAATTTGTAACAATGAAAATACATCCTGCATATCAGATATTTACATTACGATTCATAACAGTAGCAAAATTACAGTTATGAAGTAGCAACGAAAATAATTTTATGGTTGGGGGTCACCACAACATGAGGAACTGTATTAAAGGGTCGCGGCATTAGGAAGGTTGAGAACCACTGCTCTATTCTTTCCTTTTGTTTTATATGATAATGCCTAACTCTTATTAGGTACCTATGGTGTACCAGGCATTGCACTCAAAGCCTTACAATGCACAACTCATGTCATCCTCCAAACAGCACCATCAGGGGGCACTTTTTCCCTAATTGATGGGTGGGAAGTTTAGAATAGTAACTTGATCCCCCAATGAGCAAGCAAGTGGCAGGGCTGAGATTTGAACCCGGGCAGTTTCTGCCTCCACTGTCCTCCTGCTGAGCCCCTTGATTTCCACAGTTTTAATAAAAACGTGTTTAAAAATACTTTGACCTACATCTTAAAGAAAATCATTCTTTGAAACATAAAAAACTGCGTGACTCAGATCATTTTAATGGAGGTAAAATTCAAGAATTGCTAAATCTATTTCATCCATCTTCCAATGTAAGCTTCAAATTGAGGAGGCTATTAGTTTTCTCAAGCTACATGCCTGGTCCATATCTGACTATGCACCCTGAAGGACGGAACAGGTGGCCAAGGTGACATGCTCCCGGAGAGCTGAAAGTCATTAACTTTGGAAAGCAGTCTAGAAGTCTCAGAATCAGACACCCATTGATCTCCGTTCTCTGTGGAAGTCTTTACACACTTGAAAACCGCTGCTGGAGGCCCGGACTCTGAGTGGAGGGCAGAGTTAAGGGGTGTGGGGTGGTCACAGGTGATCCACAAGTAAATGAGACCAGAAATGTCTCTACCTTTGAATCTACAATCTGCAGAGAAAAAAAGCACTGCTGTAGATATACTGGCCACTGTGCTGAAAAAGGATACACCAGCACTAAGAGGAAAGGAAGCATGTTGAATTGGCCTAAATATGATAAGAGCACTTTGAGGGAAAACTCACACGCTGTAAGATAAAGGTCATTTCTTCCCTGAAGTTTCAGAAATACAAGTATGGGAAGTAGGGACAGGCACTAGTTAGATCTGAGAAACAGCCACTGCTGGGCTGGTCTCCAGTGACTTTAGCCCCTAAAAGAAGTATTATTTTTAAAGATGAAATTCATAAATCAAGCCGAAATTATATCAAGCAAGGAGAAACTCTGATTTTTCAGTAAAGTAGAAAAATGACTATGGATTCTTCAACTACTTAGATCTTCTTGTTATCTATTCAGGGTAAAAAAAAATTCCTGTAAAAAGTCTGATAATATTAACTTCCACTATTTAATCATCGTTACCTTTTTCTGGATTTAAGTGTTAATGTTAGAATATACCATAGGTATGATGACTCTCTTGTAACTTAAGTGAAACCTTAAAATCCAAATCCCATTTTAAAAAACTTATCTTTATTGTTGAAAATATTACAGATGTCCCCTTTTCCCCCACCACTGACACCCTCCACCTGCTCCTGCCCCCATTTTTGAAGCAAAATTTTGTTACAAACTATTTTCATTCTTTTAAAGTGATCTAAAATGCTCAGTTGTTGCTACTTCAGTATTTTGAGTTGTAGATCAGATGTTCAGAACAGAATAGAGAAAAAAGAATTAGCCCATTAGCGTATTGTGGAAAATACTCATGGGCACTGGGTTGATATTCTGTCACCTCCCTGTGCTATTGCAGAAGTCATAAAAACAACGCACATTGCAGAAAAAGGAGTTTAAGTCAAGTGAAGATAATTTATGACACTGCAAGCTTCTTAAAAGTACATTCAGTCGAACATGAAAAAAAAGCAAATAGTTAATCCCACAAAATATAAAAGCAATTTTCCTCCAGCAAACCTGAATACATATTCTTAACGATTTTGTAACTTCTTTTAAGAAATCAGCCAATATGACAATTAACTAAATGTTTTTATAGAGACGGAATATCAAGTTGAAACATGTCTATTGATTCATATTAAAGAAAAAGGTTCCGACCTTTTCCGTTTCGGGTCATCACAATTCTCACATGAACTCAATCCCCGTAACACCTTTAACATGACGAATGTGAAATGCTATTTTGATAGAGACCTACCTTGAAAGTACACTATTTTCCCTTGAAAGGCAACCTCCCCAACATGCTACATGCCCAGCACACCCTGACCTGTGTAAGATTTAAAGGAGCTGGAGAAAAAGAAAAGAATGGTCCTCTCCCCATACATCTCAACCCTACTTCATGCTTTTCCCTTTAAATCTAACCATTTTAAAACATTAATAATTTTGCTATTGTTTCCCCTGGAGCTTTCTCTATCAAGATTAAAGAAGGGCTTATTCAGGAACAAACAGGATACAGGAGTCATGGTTGGCTTCCAGGCAAGCTATAAATAGTGACAGCATTTTCAAGAAATCTTATGCCCAGTGAGGGAGTTGCCATTTAAACACGCAGCACCGATTTTATTACAACGGTGTCACCAAAATGCATTGTTATACGAGAAATTCAATTCTTACCAAGTTTTCTTGGTTCCTGGCTGCTATTTTCTGCTCCTCTTCTGCCCCGTTTTTCATGTATTTGACCTCTTCCACCGGTTTGATCCTATACTCATCTGAGTACCAAAAAAAAGAAAAGAAATTTGATAACTTTTTTCACAAAGGTAGGCAAGTGTCAATGAGAAAAGCCCCACAGCGTAATTTGTTAAGAACCCTTTTCCTGCGCTCTTTCTTTGGGGTTCATTTGACATCATCCGGATTGAGCTTCACCAGCCTCTTTCTAAGACTCAACCTCCTCTATGGCAGAAGTTCTCAACCTGTGGGTCGCGACCCCTTTGGCAGCTGAACGACCCTTTCACAGGGGTTGCCTAAGACCATCCTGCATATCAGATATTTACATTACGATTCATAACAGTAGCAACATTACAGTTATGAAATAGCAACGAAAATAATTTTATGGTTGGATCACAACATGAGGAACTGTATTTAAAGGGCCAGAAGGTTGAGAACCACTGGTCTATGGGGAAAGCTTGGCGCCACGAGGACAGCTAATGACAGTGGTACCACCTGGCCCTTTTACAGAAGGCAGAGGGGGCCAAGGAAGCAGGTGGTTCCACCCGTAAAACTATTTGGGATCGCCACACTTGAGGACATCTCACGTCATGGTCTAAGGAAGATGTTTCTCCTTATGAACTAATATTTTCTTTATGAGAATGTGAGTTCAAAATACCAGTGGCAGCAATTTTCAGCAGTTTAGGTACACCTAATTTCTCTCTTTTGAAAAAACAAAGTACTGTTTAAGACTAAAGAGTTTAATTGATCAACAAACAGATATAAACAATGGGAAATAAACTGTTCCTATTTGTAATCCCATATTAAATATGGAGCATTCTGCAATTATTTCACATGCTCTACACACACACACACACACACACACACACACACACACACTTTAATTTAATTTAACCTCTCTATAAAGTCACATGTACAAAGAGCTGTAATTCTAATGGATGTACCAGGTGGGTATATCATACAAGACTGGAGAGCACAGTGGGTCATGGTGAGACCTAAACTTCACAACAGCCAAGGAGAGAATAGAATAAATCCCAATATTGATAAACATCATGAGACAAACTCAGGAAAAGATACAGCTAACGCTCTTTTTCCAGGGCAGAGGTTTGGTGATGACGATGATGACATTTTCATCAGAGTCCTATCAACAGGATATGACTTGAGCAAACGAGGTCCAAAATATGTGTGACTTTGAGTCATCTTTAGTCCGATTTGTCAGGGGGAAAAATCATAGAAACAATTGAATTAGAAAATTTCATCAGCTAACAAATTGATTATTGCTTAGCATATGGCATGAAATAATGTCTATAATAGGTTACTTGAAAGATGTCAATCATTAAAGAAGTTTGTATATCAGTTCAGGAAGTTGCAATATATTTTCTTATTGCCTATGACTAATTTGATACAAAGACATATTTTATATAATTTCTTGCCTTATTATTTATACCACTTTCTTTATAGTTTCAGGTTTCCTCATACTATCCCTTAGTAGACTGCCCCCAAAGATATCTGGTATAGCAATATTCCTCCAGGTAATTATGCTGTTCAAATGTCTCTTAAAATTAGCACCCTTATGAAAGTAATACATGTGCATATATCTGAATAAAGACTCCATGTTCATGGCTAAGCCAATCGTTTTTTCCACCTGATAATTCAAGGTAGTTATTGCTTTTGCTTCTTTCTAAAGAAATTAGAAAAACTGGTGAGAGGTTACAGTAATGAGCCCTGTAGGAATACCAGGTCCTAAATGTGCTAACAAGTTAATCAATGAATTCTGATCCACAATTACAACACACAAGAATTTCGCTTTCCAATTTGATATTCAGAAGAGAAGAAAAGTGAATTAATAAAATCAGCACATTTAATTAAGGACTATTTACTCAGAATTTGGAAGAGCAGTTTTGATTTGTTTTTTTTTTTTAAATAAAAAAAGGACACTGACAAATTATGCATCCAGTACAATTAGAGAAAGAAAAATAAAGGAAAAAATAACAGCAAAGATGGGCCTCCTTAACTTCAGTTTGGGACATTAATATTTATAAACCATGGTTCGCTGGGATAATTACTAACATTTAACTGATCTAAACTGTGATCTTAATGACTTACAGTGAGCCTCTAATGATTTAAATATAAATTACACACACACACACAGTACATTTTAACACAATTCCAGTGGATTGTATGACTTTTGTTTATAGGATTCAAACACTCATATGATAGACTGGGGAAAACACAGCATTTTAGGACCTAAGAAACCTTCTGAAGAACCTTCCGAAAGATGGCCCTTTAGGCAGCTGCAGAGAGAAGCTGCCCTTGCCTCGCCCCGTCCTCTGCCATCTGCCAAGCCACAGCCCCCTGCTCTCTCAGCGCCCTCCCAATACTCAATCTTCAGTCTCTTCATCCCTCCAGGGAACACAACTGAATTGAAAGAAGCAGACACACTATTCATACTTTTCTAATATTTTTTTCTTCAATGAACTGGAAGAGCTGCTGGCTACATCACTTTCAGAGCAGCATTATCCCAAACACAGGCTTTCTTTTAGCATCAAGGCAGAGTCATCACGAATGTAGAAAGAGGGTAGGACCGAGCGTGTCATCAGCAACCACGGCTGGCGAGCCAAGGCTGTGTTAGAGGAACGCACTGTGATTGGCTACGAAGAAAGGAAAAGCACACAGCCACAGAGCCCGACCCATCATGATTACTTACACACACGCTGCACAAAAGTCATCCGGGTAGAAAACAAAGGAGCCAGCAAGACCCTTACATAAGCCACCGTTTGTACAATGGAAATACGTAAAAATGGGCTGTCGGATTTCTCAACGGCACGAAGATGTCCGTCTGGAAACAGACAACTCATCACAAATGTGTCACCCATTTCCATGGCGACGCAGCCCTCAGGACCAGCACTTGCCAACCGGCCTCTGTGCAGACGAAAGAGCCCTTCGGTTCTGACAGTGAAGCCACCACCACTGAGATCTGGTTTCCCTTTTGTTGAAGGTGCAGGGGCATCAATGTGGGACTGCAGCCCCCTTCATCAGCCCGGCCACTGTCCCCAACCCCAAGGTCCTGGCGGCAGGACACTGAGCCAACTTGATTAAGGGGAGGGGGAGCAGGATCGTCTTTCTGCAGCTCCCGCACATCTGTTCACAATTTTTCTTTTCTTCCTGTTGGTCTTGTCAGGTGGCTTATTCAAATGCACATCAGAAACAGGAGACTGACACCCCTCCCCATCCTCTCTGTGTGTGCAGTTGCAAGCTGTGCAAGCCAAACAGATCAGGGGAAAAGCCATGCTTTGGTGATACTGCTGGCATTTCATCCCTCAGGGGACATCAGAGAGGGACCAATTGTTTCTGTGGCAGCTCCATCATGCCGAAAACACTGTTTCCCACCAAATCCCGGTACCTCGCTTTTGACATAAAGTATATTCTATGCATGTACTTTTTAGAGTTAGAAGGGGATCGATTGGCTGGACTGACTTTAGGTGAGTATGGAATCATCCCCATCTTCTGGATCCCCTCAATTCTTCCATTATGGACAACTTCCTGGGCCTGTCCCAGATCTCCCAGGCTTCTCGGATAGATCTGTGACAAAGTTACTTTTGTAATCAATAGAACTGACTTGTAAAGGAGTCAATCAGCTGGAGATGAGCACTGGAAGAATTTATAATACCAGAAGTATAAAAAAAGTGAACAATTTTCCTAAGTGGACATATTAGATTAGGAAGAAGGAAGAAAGCAGAAGACCCCTATATATGCTGCACTCTGAGGTAAGAAGAAATCTTATAGTTGTATTTTTTTAAAATATATTTTATTGATTTTTTACAGAGAGGAAGGGAGAGAGATAGAGAGCTAGAAACATCGATGAGAGAGTAACACCGATCAGCTGCCTCCTGCACATCTCCCACCTGGGATGTGCCCGCAACCCAGGTACATGCCTTTGACCGGAATCGAACCTGGGACCTTTCAGTCCGCAGGCCGACGCTCTATCCACTGAGCCAAACCAGTTTTCGCTTATAGTTGTATTTTTAAAATTATATGTTTATTCACTTAATTGTGCATTCAGCGGTTGCTTCTTGGGTGTGCCCTGACTGGGGATGGAACTCACAACAGTGGTGTATTGGGATGATGCTCTAACCAACTGAGCCACCCGGCCAGGGCTACAGTTGTTTACTAAACTGGTGAAAGGTATACCTACTTTCATACCTTCTCACCCAGCCTTCCTTTGATCAGCGGTACATCTATAATAATAAACCCCATCTTTTCCAGACTGCTCCAATTTCAAAAGTTCCGTGTTCATATCCTCATCTCTAAATAGCCCAGCATCTGGACATCTTAATGAAATGAGCTGGATGGCCTCTCCGTCCAGAATCTGCATGAAGATTCTTTGGTGGACTATTATTCTATGCTCAGGGAAACATGAGGGCTTGGGAAAGAAGGTACAAGAAGTATTTACAAAAACAGAAAAGCCCATTAAAAGAAACAAACTATCCTGCTTTATAGCATAAACTTATTCCCCTTGGGCTTTTCCATTGAACATTCTGTCTTCCAAGCAAACTAAATTTGAGTCCTCAAATCCTGGTACAACTTCAAATTCTTGCCTACGATCTTTATTTCCTTGCTTGGAAGGATTTTTTTTCAACAAATGAGCATTCACAGTGGCGAGGAGCGCAGCCTCTGGAGCTAGAAGACCCAGCATTATGGCCTTGGGCCAGTTACTTTCCCTTTTGTGCCTTGGTTTCTCCATCTGTAATATTTATGGTGCCTGATCTCACACTGAGTCACATGAGTTATCACATGAAAACTGCCCAGTCCATAGTAAATGCTCAATAAATGTTCATCGTTGCTGGTTTTGCAGGGAACACTATTTTTAAAGCATAAAATATAATGTAAACATCAACAATTACTTTAACCAAAAATTGTGACTTTACTGTGTTAACAAATGAGAGAGGAAGTGAGAAGGGGGTTTATTGTCCATAATAAGCTTTTAGTATTTTTTTTCAACTACATGCCTATATTACTTTATTGAAAATAGGAAATAATTTTG